GCTTCAAACCAACTAGCAATAAAAACTGATTGCATTTTAAATCATCATCAATAACTAAAATAGATACTAAAATAGTAAACAGCTCACATTGTGTCAGATCCATCCCTGTGAGCAATTAGACCCCTTCCATAGCAAGCAGGACATTGAGCCATCTGGTTTTCCTTGTAGAATCCAGGCTCTTGATCTGCATTGCAAGTAGGACACATTCGATTTCCTTGTCCTGCACAAACTGCGAACATGAGAAGGATAAATCACTACTCAACAATACTGGCTGCTATCATATGGAAGACCATTTTCTCATAAACAAGAAAACAACATGAAGATTACATGTACATAAGGACACAAGTGTAAGAGAGGATACTCTTTAAAGAGCAACTATGCCAATAGCAATTACCTGAGCATTTTTCAATAGCTTCAGAACGAGGAATCTTGGCCCGTGATTCTTTATGAGCTACAAATAGGACAGGAAATTCAGACCTCAAATCCAATTCCCAGATTCCAAGTTCAGGCCCCTTATCCTTTCCATCGATACTGCCACCAAGGTATGGTTCAGTTTCTATTACTGTTTCCCTCTCTTCTATAAAAGTTTCAAGAGTCCCAATGTAAACATTGCAGTCTTCTACTGCATGGATCTGCCAGGTCCGAGCTGGACGACTTCCCCAACAGCAACGATGACCAACATGGTCAATGAGTAGTTCACGGATCTCTACTTCATCCAATATCTGCCTATACAGATTTTCGATTAAATCAAGATGCTGTTGCAAACATAATGCTTCAGATTGTCATATGCAATAAAATACTATGATGAAACTCATATAAACAAAGGTCACCAGTGCAAAATGTCTATGTTATCAGCATAACACTGTCCACGAGTTAACCCATCATTCATGGTCCAAATAAAGACATGTTATTTTCATTTTTGGCCGAGCCAATAAGGCATACAATCAAATCATTTCATTAGTAATCAATCATCTTGGGAGAAAAAACTAGTAACTCAGAGAATAAAAAGAAAAAGACAATCAGCCTAGTGCACAAGGCTCCCGCCATGCGGGGTCTAGGGAGAGTCAGATGTCCTCAACTTCACCCCCCCATGCAAAGAGATTATTTTCGCGAATCAAACCCTTGACGTCCAGGTCACAATAAACAACTTTATCGCTGCGCCAAAGTCCACTCTCACAAAACAACAAAGCATGCATGACCTACATAGAGAGGTTGCCCCCATTTTGTCATGTCATTCAAACATAGCATGTCGAAGTCAAAACCACATCGTCCACCTTCACGACTTTTTAAAGCTTGTCATTTGCAGTAATTAATGACGGCTCGATATGGCCAGAAATTAATACACAATTTTAAGAATTTGTGCAGAAACACGTGAAAACCCAGGCCTGGAAAACCATACTCCCTATTACCTGCGAACATCACCAGTGGTCCCGCTTAATTCTCCATAATATCCACCCTGATAGACAATAGCTTGCTCTGCAAAAGGAGACCATGATGTTTCATCCAAGAAATAAGCCTTATAAGATATACTGAGAACATGTAAAGAAATCACGTGTTTCATCGAAATTAGAAAAAGCTGACATTTCAAAAGGCATGATTTACCTTAAGTGAACAATGTAAATAAATCCCAGTATTCTTAAACTCTTCCACCTCCAATAAAAATTTACGTATTTACCATTTATTCTCTACAAAAGAATCGTCATTTATCTGACCAAAAAGATAAAGTTTGGTTCACGGTTTCATTTCTCCCAAATCTAGTGATGCACACCATACTTAAGAAAGATATCACTGTAATATAACGCTGGAGCTGGTCCGAAAGGTTAGCTGACCTTAGTAGAGGCCCAATAACATTAATGAACTAGTGTTTAATCGGGTATGGAAACAAAACTGCGGCATGGGTACAACCCAAACAAGATTGCACTTCTTATAATTTTCTTCTTTCTATGGTCTTTCACGAAAATACTAGGGAGTGATAATAAAAAACCAGGATTTGGCTAGCATTGTTGGGCATGATGAATGTGTGTCTAATCAACTAGACACAATTGACCACAAAAACAACTTAAAGAAGCCCATCTGTCAAGAAGTCTTCCTACACTCTAACAAATTTTTTTTTTTTTTGAGAATTTAAAAAGGCCCAACAAGAATAACTTAGATTGACATTAAACAATCAACTTTGTTTTAACACTATGCACAGAAAAATGAAATAGAAAATTTTTTAACCAAAAATTATTTGTTTGGTTGCCTCAAATGTCGATTTTTTTCTGATCAAACAAACAAAACCCTCAACCTAACCAGCCTAATGCAATGTTTATTTCAGCCTAAGGTACAATTCTCATTCCTCAGAACAACATAAAACATACAATTTAAAACATTAACAACCACTCATAGGTGTGTGCAATTGGGAAGAATGAGGGTGGAGTACCATTAGGTTCGGGCTCGGGAGAGCTAAGCAAAGGGGCATGGAGAGAAGGAGGGTAGCGATCAGAAAGAGCAGCGGCCGACCGCATCTCATCGACGCTGACCTCAGTTCCAGCGAAGGAAGCCGTCGGAATAATGGATCCTGTTCTTCCCACATACTGATACGAACTCAATCTCTCGCTCTCTTTATCTTCAATCTCACTTTTCACTATACCCAGAAAAAATATACGGAATCAATAATTCTACAGCATAGAAAAAGGTAGAATCTATAAAAATAGAAAACCCATTTGCAGAAAAGCTTACAGAGAAACAATAATAAGAATATACAGAATTTGTAGAAGAAGACATTGATGATATAGTGAACTGTAGAAGCCTACCTGATAGCAAAGACTCCTCCATTTGCGAGTTGATGATCAAACTGTGAAATGTATTGAATGATTTTATGTGCTAATTTGCTTCGCTGGTAAGGAAAAGAAATTGAAGTCAATCGCCCGATGTTTCAGATTATCTATGGGGTACACACGCTCTGTAGTTTTTGTCTTTCTTTAGTGGTTTTAGCTGGCTTTTATGCATCGTAGATTATTAACCCTTTTTTAAAAACTTTATTTAATTTATATTATAAGGGAGATAGGTATTTGAATTTTATTCTTATAGTAATTATTCTTTATGTCTGAAAACACGGAGTAATAAAACAAATAGTTAACATATTTATATTTATACCTAAAATCAAATCACAAACATAATGAGAGATAAAAAAATTTAAGCACCGATTATAGTGGGATAAACAGTGGTAGGCGACAGTGATGATAGTAGAAAATAGTGATAGTTGTGGTAGGTAAGACGACGACCACGGAGATGGTAGCAGTTGTGAGTGGCAATGGTGATGGTGATAGAGAGTTTTGAGTGACAATGAGGGTAACGGCCGTTATGAGTGGCAATGGTGGTGGTGGACAACGGTGATGGTGATTAGCAGTGGTAGTGGTGGGACGACGACGGTGGTGGTGAGCTGTGATGATGGTGGTGATGGGCGACGATGGGTGTTTCTAAGCGACAATGTGATAAATGGTGTCGAATGGCAGCGGCGGTGATGGGTGGTGGTGGGTGCCGACGGTGTAGAAAACTTGAAAATGTTAGTAATTATGCCTCTAAATTAATTTTTTTATCAATTGAGACTCTAAACTCTAAAATGTTAGTAATTAAGCCCTTATGTCAGTAGTCATTAGGTTTTTGAACGGAATGTCTCACGTGCTAACCACATAGATGACAAGTTAGGAGTATTTTAAATTGTTCGTTTGAATCCTATCAGACAAAGAATCGCATTCTTTATATCCATCAACAGAAACCCTAAACCTAAATTTCTTTTATATCCATCAAACGAAACAAATCACTAAATTCTTCGATCTAGTGTAGAAAGTAGATTTACATAAATGTAAGTTTTTCGAAGAGCTTGTTGATCTTGCTAGTATAGAAAACATATTACAAGCGCGTGAGACATTATATCAAAAAATTTAATAGTTACTGACAGAATGACTTAATTGTTAAAATTTTAGAGTTTAAGAGTTTAATCTATACCTATACTTATGTCAACAAAAGTGAAAATTTTTTGTTTGATTAAAATAACCTTTATAAAACAAGTAATGCCAACTATAACCTATCCTTTCATGTCCAATGGAAATGAACAACCCTATTCAAGTTTTAAATAAATACACACATTAAATTAATACACTATTCAAGTTAAATATCCCTATTTCATTTGGGCTCTTACTCTCCCACAACATCCACCTCTCTCTTTCCTTTTCTTCGCAGTGTCCAATTTCTTTAGCAGTCACTTAAGTATGAATGTGGCGTACTATAAATTCCAATGCTGTGGAATTCTTCTTTCCATCATATTTTAGCCACTTCGATATACACTATATCTCTATCTATATCTATATCTATTTTTATACTATTTCTAAATATACATATATTAAAAAAACTTTTATTTCACTCTTTTATCCTCTACCAACTCTTAAATATCCGAAATACCACGCACATGAATAAGTAATCATTTTATATATTTATTTGTTGAGTGTCTCTTTTTCTTCACACCACCTATTAAATTTTGAATAAATTCCACCTCACCCATGAAATTTCATCTAGCTTTACATGCACAGATATTTCATATAGACAAACAACTTAAAATAATCAAAATTGTTAGGTTTTAATTATCCATTCCATGGACCGTTGCTGATCAGTAAGGTAGACCAACAACCAAATGTAAATGCAACGGTGAAGTTCAATCAAAGACATTGATATCCAATGAAAAAGATCAAAAGGAAGTCCAAGTGGCTGCACTTCTTCCAGAGTCCTTATTAACCTTCTCTGTCACTTCCAAAAAAACTTCTCTCCGTGTGCAAACTTTGATGTATTCACTTCATGCTTTACTTCCTATTCCTTCAATATGAAACGTCTTCTCCTACCTATTTTTTCCACGGTATTTTAGAATGCTTTTGGGATTGTTATTTTTTCATGTCTATTATGCTAACCCCTACCTATGTGTTGTTGCAGCTGGGAAACACAGATGCTCTCATCAAAATGAACGATATAAAATATAGTTTTAGATGCATCACAGAAGATAAAGGTCAGAGTTTGCATAGATCTGCTTTATGTGTTATGCATCCCCCTAAGTTCATAATTTTTTCTTTAATTTTTGGGGTGAATTTATACTCTGGCAAAATATGTGGGCATGGTATGTGGGGCAACAACAAAAACTCTAACACCTAAAGCTAGCTAGCTCTATATAGTTCAATTTGTGCTTGATTTTCAGTTGTATTTTAGTGAAATATTTTGAAGTGGTGATCAAAGCATCAATGAGAATGGATGAATTTGTAAATGTGAGGTGACGACTGATTTATGTGGCGGATTTTGATTATCATGACCACCTGTAGTATTATTGTCATCAATCTTATCTATAGGAAAAAGTAGTATTGCGCTATAGTATCACTTAAGGTGTAACTACTACAAGGGATGTGGTGGAAGTATTTAGAAGGCGTAAGTCAGTGAAATATACATACAGCAAAAATGATGAAAGAAAATTTTAGTGCAATGTGGTTTGCTTCTTGGATTTGTATCTTGGGTGAAGCAGTGTTTTCATTGAAATCAACTTATAAATGCATTGAAATCTTAGTTCATTTTGTTAAAGTATTGACTTCTTGAGAGGCCATCAAGAACTGTGATCTTATATCTTTGCTCGACAGAAAATAAAATAAAGCAATTTATCACTATACTGTAACAGGCAACTCCTCCTGTGTGTTTACATATGTTCAGTGATGGTGTTAATCTTATGTTCATTTGGATGATTTGATTCTAACATTTATGCGATTGGCAATAGTTAATTTGGTAACTTTTGTTTATTGGTTTGCACAATATCTATGCAGTGAAAAAAGCTACACAAGATGCTCTTTTGCCAACCGTGGAAGCCCAAAGGGCAACCCTTTACTTATACTTTGAGTTGGAGAAGGGAGTAAGCGATCTCTATTCTGGTACGTCTCCTTTCCTATTTTTTGTTTGTTCAACAAGGTTTAAGTTTTCTCTTCTTATTATTTAATGGTTTATGCTTATCATTGATTTTTTTTATCATGGAAAATTTGGTTATTAGGTGGTTAGAGTAACACAAAATATGATAGACTTTTAACTCTCTACTAAAATAGTAATTAAGAATCTGTTTATTTGATGTTGGAACTCTTAAGAATCAAGAAAGTTTGTCTATAAAAATTATAATCTAACGGCATCGACAAAGGACCACTTAATTTATGAAGATTTTGATTTTAGAATATTTGATAACAACAGTATATGGTATTTGATACTCAAAATGGTTTACGTCCAACGCACGTGTGCATCAACTAGTTGACACAAAAAATAATTTAGTGACTTAATTATCATAAAGATCAAAATTTAAGGATCATTTATGTATTTTACAAATAATATAAATAACACCAGAGTACTACTACTACATTTATCAAAAAATTATACCAAATTTACTTATAAAAATATGAGGTCAGTGGGTTCTACTATTGATTTTTTTAATACGACTTGTTCATCTAATAAATTACAATAATTTGATAAATAAACACATCTTTATCCAATAACAAAAGGATTTGTTACGAAAACTCTAAGGCTATCTCAAGTGATAATAGGATCGAGTTTTAAAGTCAAAATATTTTAAATTTAAATTTTAACAATTCTTGACAGGCCAGGCCAACCCTAGGCATAGGCCATTAAGATGGCTGCCTAGGGACCCAAGTTTTACATGGCCCCCAAATATTTTATCCTTTTAGGGCTCATTTGGTTGCAACATTAAGAGATATAAAGGAGTCGTAACAAATTAAAATTCTCTAATTGGGTCTAATATTTTGCATGGTATACAAATTTAATTTTGTATTAATTTAAAAAATATATATTTATCATATATTTTTTTATACCGTAGACCTATATTATGAAAGTATTTCAATACCACCTGTAGAGGTGGGTTTATATAATCTAACTCTAACTCAAATGTATTATTATACATATTTATTATTATAACCCTACAACATAGTTATCAAAAGTGGACCCAACATCGAACCAGTAGAGGGATCGGGTCAATGATTTACTAGTTCAACCGTTTGGTCAATTAATTGAACTGGTTTTATAATAAAAAAAATTATAATACATAATAATTTAACTTTAAAAAAAATATGTTCACAATACATAGAATTTACTATAAAATTAACATTGTAATTTACGTTTATTTCATTTTTCAAGTATTACTTTTACTCTTGTAATTTTAGCCATCCATTCATTTCCCACCCAACCAAGATGAACGGTTAGGATTATTTTCAACGACCTATGCAATCCAAACTCCAAAGATCTCTACTTTTCTCTTGAACTCCACTCCACCATTTCTCTATTTTCTCACTCCCTCTGAAACTCTACCAAAGACATATCACTCACTTTTCTCCCTCCCTTTGTCTTTCTCTCATTCTGAAACTATGCCTTTAAGGCTGTTCGATGTTGAAGTGTGAGAGATCAAGTGGAGAAGGTTGCCTAAGTTGCTGAGTGGAGAAGGTCCCCTGAGCTTCGAGCAGAGAGTCGCCTGAGTGGCTGTTCATCGCTTGATTTGGTCGCCTGAGTGGTCGTTGAACAGCGTCAATGCCAGAACTGCAAACTGATTTACAGATTTAAGGCAAAATTCTCAACTGCCCCGTTTACAAAATCCGTCCTATTCACGATTCTTGTCCAAAATCGACCCATTTTATGATTCTTTGGCGGTTTGATTTCTTAGGTTGTCCAACTAAATAACCGGACTGTTTTAGGTCTCGGTATACGGTTCAACCGATCGGACCAATCTGATTTTGATAACAATTTCTCGCATTAAATTG